TTTCTTTGTTGAAGAGGGTCTGTGCAATCCTTCTGCCTAGTCCACCATCTTCCAAAATCCGTAAAATACATTTTTAAAATGGTGTTTCCACTGGATAATGGAGTACAACCCATATTACTGGAATCAGTAGCAACTCTTACAGAAAGCATGACGATAATACTTTCTTCAAAAATTCTAAGTTTCTCAGATAAAGTATTGAATTAATCAGTTTAGGGTCTTCAGAGGACATAATAAATCAATAGTTAGCTGAAGTTTGAAGCAGATCATCTAGAAACTCTAGCTTAAAGTAGTCTTATATAGCTGTCACAAACCACTTTCTAAAAGCAGCCTTGGAGCCAGATCAAACTCGAAGTCTCACTGTTGTGATAAACTGGAATATGGTAAAGCTTTGCAGTGATTTTTCTCTAATATCTATTTAATAAACACTGTATAAACTTTTTACCACCACCTGTCAGTTTGTCATACTGTGGTGGTTTGTGGGTCACTATGATGCTGAAAGCTATGCTACTAGTATTGCAAATTCCAGCACCCATGGTCAGTCATGGTGGACAGATTTCAGCAGAGCTTCCAGCATAGACATACTAGGAAAAGAAGGCCTGGAGATATATCTCTGAAAATTATTATTGTTAACTGCTATGAGTCAGCTCCAACTCATGGTGGTATATCAGATCATTGTGATTCATAAAGTTTTCCCCTGCTAATTTTCAGAAGTAGATCACTAGGACTTTCTTCTTAGGCTTCAAGTTCTGCTGAAACCTGTTCACCATCATAGCAAAATGCAAGCCTCCAATGGCAGATAAGTGGTGGCTCACATAAAGTGAAATTCAGCCACTGAGAACCCTATATATCACAGAATACTGTCCAAGACTTCTACTCACTCTGGATGTACCAACAGGAGGGGCCAATCACTGGAGGAGAATGTCATGTTTGGTAAAGTGGAGGGCCAGAGAAAGCAAAGAAACGTTTAGTGAGATGAACTGACAGACACAATGATGGCAACAATGGATTCAAACATACCAAATATCATGACATTGACACAGGACCAGGCAGTGTTTTGTTGTATTACACATGGGGTTGCCATAAGTGAGCTGACTCAACAGCAACTAAGAACAACAGGACTTTATATACCAAAAATTTCCTGTGTAATACTTTATTTAAACTTAGTTTCTTCAGGAAACTGAGAATATTCTGGAGAGGAATACTCTGGTGTACTTGCTGGGGAAGAGGGAGTTACCAGCAAGTTAGGTAACTTTTTATAGAAGAAAATGCCAACCTTATTTATAATCTACTGATTTAACCTTCACATTGAGCTTACTTACCAGGAGTATACTTACCAACAAAAATTTGTTCCAAAGATCTAAGAATTTAAACCTCCCAGATAATACTAAATTCCAATATGCAACAGCCATTTCTAAATCTGGCAAAAAGAAAAGAACAGTTAATCAATCTCAACTTCTTTTTCCACTGTACAAAATATGACCACTTTTGAGCACAATGATTTTCACTTGTTCAACAGAATTTGGCAATCTTACTCAAGAATAACCTGAGGGCTGATATTTATAGAAGTGTTCCTAATAGTTGTATGTAATCTAATTTTATAAATGTGAGGAAACTTCTTTCAAAGAAGATTTGTGTATTAAGTTATTTGGACATAAAAATAATTATTCTCTAATTTATCCATTTGGTTGACTCACTTTCATGTATCTAAGCTTTCTTTTGGGAGCCCTGGTAGCGTAGTGCCTAAGGCACTTGACTGCTAACCAGAAGGCTGGTGGTTCAAACCCACCAGCCACTCCTTGGAAGGGAAGTTGGGTAATCCACTTCTGTAGTGATACTACCTTGGAAACCCAAGGATGGGTTGCTAAGAGTCGGGTCCAACTCGACGGCACCTAACAACAACAACAAGCTTTCTTTAAACTTGAACTCATCTTGAAACTGTTAATACTATCATTTGTATTATAAAAATAGGACACTGTTTTCTTTAACTGATGAGCCAGAAGTTAAACAACTTCTTCAAAAAGGAAGAGAGATGCTGCTTTACAAAGAGACCTGCCTTGTTATTGTAAGAATTAAAATAGAATCTGATTTAAAAGTGAGGACAGAAATTATATAAGTACTATAAGGACTCAATGCATAATCAAAATAAATATGTAAACATAAGGAAATGCATTTTTGCTGATAAAGGATTTTTAAAAATCTATATTACTCAGTCTGTGCCCATTTTTTTTTTCTGACTGGAAGACACTTTATGATTATTTCATAGTTCTATATAAATCTATAGGATTAAGGATTCAACTTAAGTACCATGTATGCCTTAATGGGATATTAAAGTTGAGTGTTATTACTGCATTAGTTTTATCCCCAATACATAATTTTTTGGAATACTACCTCATTAACTGCTCACTGGAAGTGTTTAATCTATTTCTTTTTATATGCTTGATATAATAAATAAATAAATGTCCCAAGAAGTTTATTTTTTAAATTGCTAACTTATAATCATGTGGAATAATGCTCAACAAGAGATATATTGAAATTGTATTCTAATTACATGTTTCTGTATGTATGTCAGATGAATTAATGTGAAAAGCAGATGAATAAATAAATATATTAAGGTAACTATATTCCAAGATACCCACCTAAACAATTTCCAAAAAAATTTCATTTTAATTTGGTTTGGTGTCAGCAGGAAACAAAAAATTACTCAAGCTGGAGCCCTACCTTGAGATTTCCAGGGTCAATCAGTATAAAAGCAAAAGAGATGCATGAGTACCAGCCAATTTTAAATAAACTGCTTATATTCTCTACATGTTTAAAGGGTTTATTATAGCTTTTCTCAAACTTAAATACTATGAAGTCTGAATCAGAAAGAATCAGTTTTAAGTAACTTGTAATTTGGAACAGTTTTTTAAGCCTTACCCATGAAACCTATAGTATAATGCTAAGTAGACAGTCCTGTCTTGCTTATAAGTCTTTTATCACTTGGAAAGAGCATTAACTGAAATTTATATTCAATTCATCTTAATGATGTAAAACACTTGAGAAATGGAAGTTAACCTGGGGATAAAAGAAAAATAAAATCTTACGGCATACATTTAATCTATTTTTGGTCCTAGCAACCCTTCTTATTAAAGTACTTGGTTTGTATGTTTGTAACCACGCTAAATGTATAAATTTTTAGTATTTACTATCATCTATATTGGAGCTCTGGTGGCATAGTGCCTAAGGCATCTGACTGCTAACCAGAAGGCTGGCAGTTCAAACTTACCAGCCACTCCCGGGAAGGAAGTTTGGGCAATCTACTTCTGTAGTGATATCGCCTCAGAAACCCAAGGAGGGGTTGCTATGAGTCAGACCTGACTCAATGGCAGTGGTTTTTTTTTTTTTTTTTAATATGAAAATGTATATTACAGTCCTGATAGAGTTAGCCATTTCCAAATCAATAATAAAAAAAAAACAAACCAATTCTCTAAATGACTGAACTTGAGAGCTGAAATCAAGAAGAAAAAAACAACAGCTACTTAATGGCTATGAAAAGAATCTTGATAGCAGCTGTTTTTCTTTTCTTCCCAAGAACTTCCTGAAAAATATTATACTAAACAATTGTTTAGAAGAAGCCATTATTAGTTAAATATTATACTTATGAGGCTCCATTTAGGATTAGATTAAGATTTTTTTCCCTTTATCAAGAAACGATCTTAGGACAGATATTAAAAAAAAAGTAGTTAATTATTATGAAACTTAACTTATTCAAAAATCAAGATTTCTCAAAGTCAACTGACTAGGCTCTGGCCAGTATGAAACTATGCTAAAATTTTTTAACTAAAACAGTCAAATGGTTTAATCATTTTATAAGATTGGCCATTAGATTACAAGGTAAAGAATAATTTGCACAGGCATACCTTTTTTTTTGTACTTGGCTTTATTAAGCTTTGCAGATAAGGTTTTTTGGTTTTTGTCTTATAAACAAGTTGAAGGTTTGTGGCAACCCTGAATTGAGCAAGCCTATGGGTGCCATACACCCAACAGCCATGTGCTCACTTCATGTCTCTGTGTCACATTTTGATAACTCTCACAATATGTCAAAAATTTCATAATATTATCACACAGTAAAGAGACTAGAGTATAGTAATAAACATAACTTGTATATGCATTGGGAAACCAAAAAATCTGTGACTTTATTGTGATATTCGCTTTATTGAGGTGGCCTGGAACTAAACATACAACATTTCCCAGGCTTGCCTGAATAGAAAAACAGAACACATAATCTTAATACATACACATAAACACAAGCACAAACATGAAGGGAATAAAGGATAAATCTCTATTAGTCTGTTTTGATTCCACTATGCCTTTGCTGTCTATGCTTTTTTCCTAAGGTTTTTGCTGTAGTTCTATCACACTTCATCAATCTATTTAATTTGTATCTAATTATCCAGAAAACAGACCATGCAATTTATTTTGGAAATTGTAAAATCAATAGCTCTGTTTTTGCTTATATAATTGTTCTCCTACCCATCTACCTATTTACTTACCTACCTTCCTTCCTCCCTCCCTCCTCTTTTCTCCCTTCCTCTATTTTTCTTTTAAGGCCTCACAAAAATTTCTAAAATTGTATGATGTTGTTGTTGTTAGGTGCCGTCAAGTTGTCCCTATACATAGCAACACGTGCACAGCAGAATGAACACCGCCTGGTCCTGAGCCAGCTCCATGATTCTTGCTATACTTGAGACCATCACTGCTGCCACTGTGTCAATTCATCTCGTTGAGGGCCTTTCCCTCTTTCATCGACCTCCACCTTAACAAGCATGACATCCTTCTCCAGGGAATGGTTCCTTCTTACAACATGACCAAAATAGGTGAGACGAAGTCTGGCCATTCTCACTTCCAAGGAGCATTCTGGCTGCACTTCCTCCAGGACAGACCTGTTAGTTCTTTTAGCAGTCCACGGTACTTCCAACATTCTTTGCCAGCACCACAGTTCAAAAGAATCAATTCTTCTTTGGTCTTCCTTATTCATTGTCCAGGTCTCACACACATATGAGGCAACTGAAAATATCATGGTTGTGTCAGGTGCACCTTAGTCTTCAAGGAGACATATTTGCTCTTCAGTACTTGAAAGAAGTCCTTAGCAGATGATTTGCCCAGTGCTATACGTTTGTCTGATGTCCTGACTGCTGCTTCCATTGGCGTCAATTGTAGAACCAAACAACGTGAATTCTTTGACAACCTCAATCTTTTCTCCATTTATCGTGATGCTGCTTATAGGTCCAGTTGTGAGGATTTTTGTTTTCTTTATATTGAGATGTAATCCATACTGACGACTGTCTTCTTCAATCTTCATCAGTGTCAATCTTCATCAGTTAAGTACTTCAAGTCATCCTCACTTTCAGCAAGCAAAGTTGTGTCATCAGCATATCGCAGGCTGTTAATGATTCTTCCTCCAATCCTCATGCTACGTTCTTCTTCATACAGTTTAGGTTCTCAGATTATTTGCTCAGCATACAGATTGAATAATTATGGTGAAAGGGTACAACTCTGACACACTCCCTTCCTGACTTTAAACCACACAGTGTTCCCTTTTTCTGTTTGAATGACAGCCTCCTGGTCTATGTACAGGTTCCTCATGAGTATGACTAAGTGTTCTGGAAATCCCATTCTTCTCAATGTTATCCACAATTTGTCATGATCCACACAATCAAACGTTTTTGCATAGTCAATAAAATACAAAGAAACATCTTTCTGGTATTCTTCGCTTTGAGCCAAGATCCATCTGACATCAGCAATAATGATATCCTTCGTTCCAAGTCCTCTTCTGAATCCAGCTTGCATTTCTGGAAGTTTTCTGTCAATATACTGGTGCAACCGTTTTTGAATTATTTTCAGTAAGATTTTACTTGCGTGCGGTATTAATGATATCGTTTGATAATTTCCACATTTTGTAAGATCACCTTTCTTTGGAATGGGTACAAATATGGATCTCTTGCAGTCAGTTGGCCAGGTAGCTGTCTTCCAAATCTCTTGGCATAACCGAGTGAGTGCCTCCAGCTGGGCATCCATTTGTTGAAACATCTCAATGGGTATTCCATCAATTCCTGGAGCCTTGTTCTTTGCCAATTCTTTCAGTGCAGCTTCGACTTCTTCCTTCAATACCACTGGTTCTTGAACATATGCCACCTCCTGAAATGGATGAAGATCAACCACTTCTTTCTGGCACAGTGACTCTATGTATTCCTTCCATCTTCTTTTGATACTTCCTGCATCATTCAATATTTTTCCCATAGAATCCTTCAATATTGCAACTCAAGGCTTAAATATTTTCCTCAGTTCCTTTAGCTTGAGAAATACCGAGGCATATTCTTCCCTTCTGGTTTTCTAACTCTGGGTCTTTGCACATTTCATTATAGTAATTGGCTTTGT